GTGCGCATGCACTCGAGCACCACTCTCAAATGGACGATGTGGTTTTCCTCATCTGTCCTACCGTGCTTCGTACGACTGTGGACGAAGTTGTCGTCGACGTATGTCTGTGCATACGCTCGGTGGGGTCTGAACAATTGTGTCGCAAGACGATTAAAGTTGCGTGTGCATTTGACAGTTTTTGGGCATCACCAGCTACTCCCAGAGCATCCCGCTCGGAGTACTCACCGCTGTCAGCGATATATCACACGCTCTGGTGAGCAATCGTTAATACCCATCGACCAAGTCGAACGCACTGTACTTTGTACAGCCAATTATAGTGCTCTGGAGAATATCCTTCCTAGGAATAGGCGTTTGCGTCGGAATGGTGACAGCTTGAGCTTACTATAAGAGTACGGGATACGCCATTTGTGGTTTGGCTTCCGGACACAAAACCTGGGTGTCGGATGGGGAGACTTGCTCTCACGCACCATTCCTACATCGTGCTTCGCACAAAAAAAGGCGACCATGACGTCATACTGCTTCTTGGGCAGGGACCATTGGCGTGTTACGCAGTATTTGCTTTCCGGAATGCGTCGATCTCATGACACACACCTCGGTCCGGAGGTAAGACCGACGTCGGGTCTTTGGAGACAACGTCGTGAAATTCCTTTACCAAAGAATTGAATGATTTCGAGGGATCCTTCAGGATCGACGAGCCACTTCGTGCGTTCCGCACCCTTTTTGGTGACCTCCAGGACAGCTTTAACCAGAAGCGACGACGGTTTGATCTCCTCGTTCGGTCGTATAATGACCATCTCGGCTCAATTGCCTTCCTACGAGGCACCGCCGAGCTCTTCGAGGACATCTTGTCCAGCTCATGAAGAGTATCCACCGTAGGAGAGCCTCGAGGGTGACGTCGCCGTCTTTGTTCGCCGTCATACCGCTGACGAGGGTGAATAGCTGTGCGCGATCGCTAAAGGCAGACACACCCTGGGTCAGGGTCTAGGCCCTGCGTCGTGCAGATAAAATACTGCATCGCCGTCTACCGTCTTTAGAGGTATTACGTCTCGTCGAGATCAGTGGGAACACGCACTCAGCGTCGTCAGTGTCCACACTTCCTGCTCCGTCGGAGCCTTGATGTATTCAACAACAACATACGAAGAGCTGCTATTTCCACAATTTTCGTTCAGTGAATACCGTGCCACTCCACGCGCATCAAAAGGCCTTGCCCAAGATGCCTCGGACCTCGTCTGACTCTGCCACCCTGGGGGCTTTGAAACGTAGCAGTGGTCAGTGAATTACGTGCCACTCCACGCGCATCACTGGGGCATCGCCCTCGATGCCTGGGACCTCGTCCGACAATGCCACTCTTGGCGTGCAGCAAATGCTTTGGTACTTGATCAGTGTTCAGTGGGTTACGTGCCACTCCGCGTGCATCACTGAGACCTCGCCCTCGATGCCTCCCTCGGCCCTTGGTCGACCATGCCACGCTTGGCATGCAGCACCTGCTGTAGTACTTGAGCAGTGCTGAGCGGATTACGTTTCACTCCACGTTCAGCCCGCGAGCCATGGCCGGGACCCTGTCCTATATATCTTCAGTGTTCGACAACTCGAATACTCCGATATCCAGCACTGTAAACAGTTCCGGTCCAGTGCCCGCGCGGGTTCATGACTCCACCAGGAGACGTGCATGTAGCGCCCTAGGTCTTCGACATCCAATCAATCCATGGCTCATGGTGTCCCAACCATGCCATACCAAGGATAAGGTCATACCTTAAATCCAAGTCTAAGACTAAGCAGCGTTCCACGCTATTGAAGTCAAGAAAATTGACACCGCGGTCCACAGGACCCTCAGCACAGTGACACAAGTCCCTGTCGCTAAGCAAACGGCGACGGGGCCACTTAACCGCGCTTTCAGCGCCTCAGCATACAGCCGACTTCCTTCGATCGTGGAGCGTCGAGCATGGTTGCCTGACGCTCTGGAATCGATAAGGACTTTTAATGGTTTTTCAGAGCCCTTCATGGTCGCTTTTACTACCCGCAAGCCCGGCTTGCGTACAGGTTCCGTGTTTAAAGCACGAAGCTTTTCGGGGATACGCCCCGCTGCTCTTTACTACCTAGAGGCTCAAGAACACTCAGTTCTTCCCTATAAGGACGCGTCACGCCAACTGGGTGTTATCGTACCCCGCGACAAACCAGACTGGTGAGAAATGTGACGTCGTTTCGATAAACCTTGACGTGCCTTGCGCAGGGGACAACCAGTCCAAAGGTGACAGATGTCTCCACAGACAAAGAAGCACTGTCGGGTGTTTAAACGCTGTTGGGCAGCTCGGAGCTTTTCCCCTCTTTCTCAGCATAGCTGAGATCCATTGGCTCAGGCCTGCTCGACGAACTCTGAGGGTGTGCATTCCAACTAAGTCGTGCCGACTGAAAGTTAAATTCGGCATTCAATGCCACAATCAACGTTTCACAAGAAAAACAGATGCACACAGAAGACTTCCATCCTGGCCACGCCAGTCCGGAGGCCCTTCATAAAGACGGTCTCGGGGAGAGGGTCGGCTGCCATACCGGCAATGGGAGTACGCAACTGCTGAACATAGTCCACCAATTCCTTCTTGTCCTGCCGGGCGGCAAGGAAACGCGATCGCACGCGATACGCCTAGTTAGGCGGCTAGAAAACTCGCAAAAGCTGCGGCTTCTGCTCTGTCCAGGAGGGTAGATCGCTTCCACCGAAGTGCCGCATGTCAGTACCCATTCTCGCGCTCGACCCCCGAACTTAAAGTTGCTAGCGCCGCGCGCTGTTGCTCATTCTGGAGCATGGCGGATGCCATAGCCATCTCGGCTTCTACCACCCATTCTCTCCATCCTTACCCTTGAAGGTCTTAACGCTCCCTATGGGCAGCCTGCGTCGGGCGGAGTCACCTGTCGTCGACGGTTGCGTCATGGACGTACTCGATGCCGACAATGCTCAAGCAGAGCATTTTCATAGCTCGAAAACGTCTCTCAGCGCGCGCTTATCGCTTCAGGTCGATGCGAAGCAAGGTGTTGCACGCCCTCAGGGCTCAGCAGGGACATCAGCTTATCAAGCCCGTTCTGCACGCCCTGGGACAAATAGGAGAATCGCTCCATCTTCCCTGAGGACCAGTCGTAACGACTCAGTTGTAGAATGACTACAAGTACTACCAATTCTAGCGAGGCTGCCGTGGCTCTTTGCTTATAGAAAGTATAGAGCGAAGTCGGCGACCTTCGCTCTATACTAGAACCAGTACGAGTGTAGCGGATCACAATTCGCTACCTCCAAGAGTACCCAAAGTCTTAACCCAAGGCAAATGTACACTTCCGTTCAAAATCGAAACTGTATTTATCTGTTTTATTTGTGGCAATGCCGCCTATATCTAAATATCTAAGTTTCCCCATCAAATAGTAAAATTTTATTAATGTTCAAAACTACTGGCAGTCCCGCCACGTAGTGGCTTCCTGTTACGATGTAGCCACATTATTGTGTGATTACACCGTCTTGCGCAATCCATTCGTACTATCACACCAGTTTGTGTGACCCACCCTTTCATACCAGGGTCCGTTCCACGCTATTTAAGGTGTACGTAAACCCTCATGTTCCTGGTAGCAGGTTTCGTCAATCCAATAACAGAGTCTTAAAATGATTTTAAACTCAGTGAGAATATGTAATGGGATTGCTGCACCGAAGATTTCGTGGACCTTGCACAGAGGAAATTTTATTGATGGGTCGGCGTTTGAGAGCGCAGAGAGGCAGTATTCGAGTGCTCTATCCAGAAGCGGAACCGAGATCCTCTTAAGTGGCCAATATCTATAATTGATCTACCTCAACTGTAGCATGTTTGAGGACTGATTCTTTTCATACAAGACTAAATATTAACGTTTGACTGTATCGAAAGTTAAACATTTTTGCTTTCCGTGAGGCTCACGGCCTACGTAATCCTTGGGCCTCTCCTTTACGAAGTCCCATCATCTTTAGAAGACTCGATACGTTGTGACTTATAAATATCCATGTGAATGCGAGTTTCATACAATTGTGCATTGCACAATTGAAGGCGTGCGTGCATTACCGTAAAAAACGTACGTCGTCATGCTCCCCACCAAAATATGAAATACATTACGGTTAGTACTTCCATTTCCGCATAAATATTGCGCAAAATTAAGTACCCACTGCACGCGAGGGTTTAAGTATTGGGCTCAAGATTTCTTGCTACTGAGAGCATGTTTGCGCTGGAAGCGCTTTTTCTCTTACCAGATCACATGGCTTTTTGAGCCTCTGAGAATAATGCGGGTCACACACGCCGAGCTCAATGAGGATATGAGGTATTTTTTAGATGTCAACGGTCACAACTACTTTTCAAGGTCTGTGCCAACATCTTTACCTTCACCTGGCGACACGCGGTCGAGCTATTTACGCACAAACTAAGCGTTTCTGTCCTTTTCCTGCAGCGTAAGCGCACAGGCTTTCCGCCGACTATCGAAAGCCAGAACGTCGCTTCGCAAGCGCATCTTATCCACAAAGGTCGTCACGTCATAGGAGTATCCCTGCGTTTAGAACAGTAGTGGTTGGTAAAACCCGTACCCATTATGTGAGATGTACCCAAGGTACATCTTAGGTACTGAATGTCAGCGAGAGTGCCGAAGATTGGCGTACCCAGTTCGCTCACTAGGTGAGGAAAACACTGCGTAACGTCCATCCTAAGGCTTTTTAAGCCAGGTTCATTAGAGTGACGTTCGACAAGAGCGTCGATCCATGCTTGACTTTGCAGAGTGCAACCCACGACGGGGATGCCGAGGTGAAACCCACGTAACCTTCCTTTCTTGATGTTGGAAGCCCCGCTCGTTATCTTGAGATTTTTTACGGGAGCCGATCAAGTGTCAAGCTCACAACAAGGTCAGTACCTTTCCCAGGTAACCCTGCCTCTTCTAGAGATATAAAGGTCGAGAGTGGGGCAGGTCGTTTAAGTGAAAGTATCGTTTCGTTTTCATCAAACTCTTATAGCAATACTGGTGTACCCATTTGTCCACTAAACGTTCTCCGTGATAGTCGACAATTCCCTGACCATCGAGCAGTGCCGGCGGAAAGTAATTCTTTTGTAGCTGGATTTTGTAAGCTTTCTCGGATTGGCGGAAAGTCGAATCTTTTCAAGAGTGTCGGCGCGCGCATCTGAAATTCAATAGGTCAGATTTAGCATGCGCTCTTTATGCTACACTACCGTATCACGTGACTAGATGCGCACCCAGCGATTCTAAGCCATTTTGCTGCTCTGGAGCAAAGGATGGTAGATCCGTCAACATCGGAGCGCCTCACAAAAGATTAGGTAACATGTGCTTGATCGTGATTTGACTTCAGTAAGTCCACGTAGTGCACAAGATGTGTTCGCACTCGCTCCGGGGTATCCGAAATCAAACTCATTCTCTTTTTGCTACGATCAACGACGATCCGGGGTAGCGTAGTTCAGGATGTAGCGTTGTTTTAAATCAGTTTTACAGGGCGCAGACACAGCATGTTTAGATAGATTAACATTTTTTGATCGAACCCTGTTCCGCGATAAATGTTCCTGATTGTATTGCCTGCGTATCGGCGTGTTGTTCATTCACATCCAAGCAGTCGGTCATAGTGTTGCACAATCAGTTCTTGATGCTCAATCTCAGTGAGATGGATTCCATGATTTTGGTACGAAATGCTACCTAGCTCAAATTTGCATCGGCCGCTTCTCCGTTAATCACTTTGAGGCAGACTCATGTGAATCCGAGGGCTAGTAAAATCGTTTACGAAAGTTTTTAAAGGTATGTGCAGCATCATTAAATCAATAGTAACTAGTGGAAGCAACCCGGTCCAGCATCGTGGTCTACCCGCACTATACACTCTGCCACCCAATTAACGCGTTCTGCCTAACCATCTATATGAGGTATTCGTAACACCTTTAACAAAACTTGACAAACCTTCATTATGAAGCGAGACTATCGATCCGATGAAATGGCTACTAGCAAGCCATTTTTACAAACTATTCGAGGATCAGTATGGTTGTCCTCACCGGTCACGGTACCGCTGACGGCAGCAAAATGAGTCATCTTGTCTAGACAATTCGATCAGACCACTATACGTCTATTACCTACCGCGTCGTTGGACGACTGAGAACAAAGTTTAAACTGATGAACTGCTACACTCGTGGGCTGGCCAAGGCTCAGCCCGCCGACACATTTTGTACGTGCGCGCGTATGTGCTTATCTATTTAAACATATTGAGCCACGAATACATAGATGTTCTTTTCCTTCCAAGGTAACCGCCCAACCTGATTGTACAGTTTTCGCATCGTGACATTCCACCACATGCTTATAGTCCAGCGGGTCAGTACAGTAATCGATAAAGCCATGAAGTAAGGAAAAAAGGTGCTAGTGGGCGGCGAAAACTTCGATAAAGCGGTATCTGATTTCAGAAACGCCTAATTTGCCACGGCCATTGCAACACAATACATATATACGTCTGACCCGTGTTCTGTACGTATCGCCTCATTTATTGTTGACGTCATTCGACAGCTTATTATCGGGGCAACGCGGAGACGAATCCACTGCGACGTTAATCCGAACCGGCTTACAATTTGGAAGGGCGTACTCACCAAAGAAGGAAAATTTTTCTTGTCACTTTCTACGAGAGGCGGCGTGACGATTTCGTTGCTCGTGACGACACATGATCTGTATAAATCACGAACGCCAGAGATCCAAATAAGTGTGATAAGCGCATAATTCATTGCAGGTAGCCTCAACTCATGATTAAAGTAGTGGTTTTCTTTCTCTATAACCTAACAAATTTGAAACATAATGACGCTTTCATTCCCATCGATATCTGCTACGACTAAATCCCAGCCGATTGAAAAGGCTGAAGCATCACAGACGACAGTAGATAGACGATTTGGGTTCGGAAAAGCCAAATTTGACGTACCTATGCACCGTTACTGATCCCTTTCTAAAGAGATTGGTGAAAGGTTGTGTTATGTAGGTATGATTGGCATTGTGCTTGTGCATGTTGTTGGACGAATCGAGACACTTTCTCAAGTTTTTGGTAAAGATTTATCTTTCCGGAATATACAAGACGATTTCCAACTGTCGCATCACGGAAAGGTAATTTTGTCAGCGCCAATTACACACGGTTCTGTCTAGGCGAAGCAGTGCTCGAGTGTCTAGAGCCGATCCTTTTATTGAACTTTCGGCTTTCTGAGCGACTCTGGTCCAATCTATCTCCAATAATAGGTTCGAGCATAGCCACAATGAAGCCTGAATAACTGCATTACTAAGTGCTTAAAAGTCGTCTCTTGTTTGGCATAAAATATCACTTCCAGAGCACCCCGAACGGAGTACTCACCGCAGTAAGGAGTTATCATGAAAAAAATCAGCTAGATGATAAAAGCCGTTTGGTTTAGATTGGTGTTTGCATCCAGCTTATTGTACAAATAAATAAACCGCTACTTACTCTTATTTTTCTTAATATTGAAAGTCGGCGCCGAGTGGGAAAAAAATCTCTCTTACCAAATAAGTTTTGTGCGTTTATGAGAAAAAGCATTACTAACCGAAGTATTCTTTGGGAAAGATTTTGACATGAGTTTGATGATCAGGTCAATTTATAACGTGGTCCACTATGCAGGGTGGTACATGGATTGAATTTCTTGTCAGAGCATTGTTATGTTTGTTTGACAGAATAATAATAGATTCATAGGAATCTTGACACTAGTTATCTACTCTTCGCACTCACCTTTAGCCCGGTGATCTGGAAAATGGATTTAATGGTGACAAATGAAGAGCACAGCGCATCCTTCGGTATAACCCGGACCATTTTTGACTTCGCCGTATTGCGATATTTACTGTAGGAAATCCTAGAAACATCTTCTTCAGCTCTATAAGAGCTACTGTCGGTGGTAGCGAGGGGGACGTACAATACCTAGGACTACTCGTGTCACTTTGCTCAATGTCAAAAACTTTTTTCTCGACAGTATCTGGCAAAGCTTCAGTCATACCTTCACATCGTATAAAGAATGATTCGTGCTCTTCAGCTTCAGAAGTTGGGCCTTTTATCTGCGACTTGTTATTACCTATAATTCTCGCCGGCTCTGGCACGGCAGGATGCGTCACAGGTCGCTTTCACACTCTACCGGCCCAGGCAAAGACAAAATCAGCTCACAGATTTTTTATCGTCCCGCTTAAACAATATAGGGATCATGAAATGTAGTGATCCTCTCCTGTCCCATCCTAAGACCGCGTCTCACAGCCGCTTCTGCCTTTCAAGCTCTGATTAAGTTGCTTTGCAATAAGTCTGTTAGATTATTGATACAACCTTATATCCCACAACGCAGCTAGTGCTGTTTTATCTTACGCCGAAAGTGATAAGTATTTCTGTCCAAGGGTCGCCAAACCTCTACCGCAATGGAAGAGCGTGGCTCCTTTGTGATTTCCTGTCAATTCATCGCTATGTCATTCCAACCACGCCATACCAAGGATGAGATCATGCCTTAGGTTCATGTTCACAACTTCGACATTCGCGCATGGAAGTCCGCAAACTTCAGTTGACTGTCGAGAAGAGCATTTGACATATACCCTCTGTATAATGCACGTATAGTGCCTCTGTCCATTGCATCTTCAAAGCCTTCGCGTAGTATCTACCGATTTCGACTGTCACATGTTTTGTAAGCTTGCGTGGCGCTCCTAGATATATACCGGAATTATCCGCGGCTTCAAAACGCCCGACATCAATGATTGATAACCCTAGAAATTGAGTCCTGCCTCTCCTAGAGACATTCAATCCTTGTAAGGAAAATTTTTATTGACCACTACCATCAGGAATATAAATAGATCCTGTCTTCTCTGTAAGGCCGCCGTGTGCCTACTGCATCTCGACAATTCCCCGCACAGGGGGTTCTGGCGACTTTGCGCGAGAGCGTGACCCTTCGTACATGAGCCAAAAGCTAAGTGGAGCGCAAGAGCTCAAACGTTTTTATTCCCGCCGATGAATTATCTGCAAGCACTTATAGCGAGGCAGGGGTCCCTCGCCTTCCGCACGCTAATATGCTTTGAGTACCTTGTCGGGCTCTCGCGATTCCGGTATTATACTCCGCATTCAATGCGATACACGAAAGTACGCGGAAAATCTTGGTGTGAACCGCACCTGAAAATGATTAGCGCTATGTTCCTGGGTGAGAGTCTAATACTACGCGGTTGTAAATGCTCGTAACTCGTGGACGTTACCCGCTATTTATTGCCTAGATTGACGGGCTGACAAAACCTTTGATCCCACCTATACACCTGGCTAAGCGGTTATACACCCGCGACACCTCCTCAAAGCTTCCTTTTCGGAACGCCTCTTACACAAGATGCTTTACGTCAGTGTCATTCTTGCGCGCGGCATTCTAGGTTGAAATCTACAAGCGTGACGCGGTGTTATTCAATTAAAACAAGGCTCAATTTGTGACCACCTGAATTTCCGTTTCAAGTAGAGAAAAAATCTTCTTCCCAGCTCGAAATGGTCAGGACGCTCGACCTCAGCGGCACCACGGTGACTGTCAACTGCTATTCCGTTCGCTGCGCTCCTGGAGGCCTCTCGCCAGCGTATTCTCATCGATAATGAATTCTTTCAGGTGAGGGTTTATTGCATCTGGCCCTTTAACCGCCAACGCTATGATGCGGTCTAAGCTTTTCATTGACATCAGCTTGCTGAGCTGATCTACTTGTTCCGTCGACAGGTACTCGAAAATCCAGAATTTCATCTTAACAGAGGATGTAGTATTTTCTCGCTTGATCGTGAGATTATGTACAAGTGCTACCTAGTGCAACGAACTTATAGAGTGCATAGTTGAATTTCCCTCAATTTTGTAGTGCCACTGACCAACTAGTCCTTAAAATTAAATTGATCAAATTTGAACTTGAGTAGCCGATTCGACGAAGTACGACCCATTTGCGTTCGGCTCTTGTGAGCTTTCTTGGTTGTGGAGGCATCTCGACTCTTTTTTGAAGATTAGTGTGCGCCCAACACTACATGGGTCAGCTTGCGTATGTATTCGTTGGGCTATGCCATCACTCAGTGAGCGCTTACGCGAGACCATTCATCAAAACGCAATACTTGAGGTGCCCCAGCAAGATCAGAATTGTGTCACTGCTTGAGATCAGACGGTATCTCATCGATGTGATGGGGTGAGTCCATTACACATGTTGTGTTAATCACATACTTCAGTCTGCGGTTAATATCAACTATATATCTTGCATAATTGTATATTCCTTAATTATATTTCTCAAAACTGAAGGCACTTATCAGTTGGGAAAAGGTTTTAGGCCTATTGGTCATGATAAATGTCACTATACCTTTTCCTCCTCGTTTGCGTAGATCAACGGCTTGCTAGAAGTGAGCAACACACGGTGAAGCGGGTTATCTGAAATAAAAGTGCGTGAATACAGACGGGCAATTCCTGTTACACTTGGCAGCATTAGTAGTCATTTTATCGTCGACTACTTTGATAGATGTATCTCTGGATAATGTGGACACCATAGGCAGTGGTTCCCCTTGGGATCAAAAGGGAGGAATATTCGTTTCTAACACACTCACAATGGGATTGTGTGGTGAAGCCGCGAGCTTTCATTATAGATCACGCGGTGTTCGACATGCTTCTATTGGATCAAAAAGCTTTAACTCAACGCTGAGCAAATTCGCTGCGTATGAGCAAGGATTATTGGGATGTTGATCCCAGAATATACCGACACCAGCTCTGTCATCTCCACCACAAGTGGTGGTAACACCGTCAGTACACGCAGAACGTCCCGTGAAAAAGCAAGATAACAAGTTTTCACGGTAACGAAGATGAAAATCTTGCAATTTGGCAGAACTTTAGAGGTGCAGGGTAAAAGCTCTAAAATTACAAACCAGTGTTTTGTACCTCATGAATATCTTAGTCGATGAGGCCTAGTTGTGAAGGCACGATTTTTGCCAAAAGAAATGGAGCTAAAAGTCAAGAGATGCCAACATTAACACTGCAAGATTTGTAAAGCCAAGAAGAAAGTTGGTATAGTGAGCGTCATACACTCACGATGACGGTTAAAAACAGCGGACAATACGTGGAGGCATCATCGATGGCAAATGCTCGCGCATCATGCGACGAAGAAATGCCTAAGATTGCAATAAGCCTTCGTATGAGATTTAAAAAAATTTACAGTGTGAAACATCATCTCGTCCTGGACATGAATTCGTGATATAATCACATCATAGGTACGATGTGGCTCAAGTATTATGAGCCACGAGACACTAAAAGTCGAAAACATTAGGGACTCTGCACTTCTCGCTTGGAGCTATGCAAAGTCACGGCCCGACCTGTGCTGGAACCAGAGGAGCCTATGGCACAGGCTCGAAGCAAAGATAGCTCAGTGTAGTACCAAAATCATATGGCAAATATATACATCGCAAAAAAGAGTCTTGAGAGGAGCTGGGAAAACAGAAAGGGTGATGTGCCGCGGTAGTAATCCATTTTAGAGGGCTCAGAATGTATGGGAAAATAGTGATCGCATAAAACGGTTAAGAATATTTTTTTTGCGAGAAGGTAAATGCGTTGGGGTTACCTAGCACCTTATATATGAGAAGGTTTCTTACAAAGTTTGATTTACAAACGCATTACGTTTGGGTTTGTATGCTCCGCACAGGAGAAGAACGAGGGCCTCCATAGTAATTGAGTATTTCATGCTCGTCTTTGTTTTCAATAGTGATTAAATGATGTCTGCACTAGTACTTGAATTCATGATTTACCTTCTCTGGTGATAAAACCGTCTAAGCTGCATGCATAAAGATAACGGCCAACCGAAGCCACGGACCTTCATTTGCTGAAGCCCCAGCGTCCTCTTAGTGCCAAGATTTTGGTGTCTCTGCGATTTACGCAATTTCACAGAAGAGCATGTGACATATTGTACAATTGCACAGTAGTCAATTTTTGCCGCCTGCCAAGACGTGGACCACGCCAGACTACTCTCGTTTTCGCAGAAGTGGGCAAGTAAGTTCGTGGCGACTCACTGGATTTTGGTCCGACAGCTTTGCCTTTAACAAGCGACATAAGGCAGATCGTTCACTGGAAAAAGATGCAGTATTTGCGCGCATCTGGTCGGATGTGCGCAGTTCATGTCCGTCCCTTACGGTGAAAAATTCTGCTTCACCCGCCGCAAATCTGTCGAAGCCATCCAGCTTGTCGCAAATGGTTTAAAACGCCTATCTTGCTTGTCTACAATCGTACGGATCGCAACAATATATCACTTCGTAAATGTAAATTCATCATCAAATGCTGCTCGGTGCAGGTTCTCGTCTACATAGGCACGTGGGCTTTGCACTGGAATTGAGAGAAAATAAGCGCCTAAAAGTAGCTTTGCGAGTGGATCTGATCTCACAGGCAACCACACCACACGTCTATCGACTGCCATTGGAGCACCAGCGGTCGATGAGCCGGTACCCATAATTAACAAGGTATGATGGCTATTGTATGCTGATGAAAGTAGCGGTGAACATCGCACTCAATCCGCGCACTGGGCAAGAAGAAACGTCATCTCGCCCGTCCAAGCTTTGGAGAAGTGACGTCGGACTGGAGCGTCGATTAATGCTTGACTCTGCAACGAACAAAGCACGACGCGGATGTCGAGATTAAATATCATCATCTTCGTTCCCCGGTGCTAACAGCTCCGCTCGTCTCGTTAAAACAGCAATTACAGTTACTGACCAAATCACAAACTCGCCACAAGGTCGAGCGCAACGAGCAAGTGGGAAGCCACTGTGACAGACGATCCTGCCATTTAAGTTATAAGCGGCAATCAGGTTAGGATTATCTTGTTGAAGTGATACGCAAATTCCCATGTGTTTCCAGACTATCATAACTCTCTCGCGTCGTAATGCACTGGTTACAGCCCCATGTACAGTCGGCCACCTTATCGACTCATTTTGAAGTGCGCTGGATCATTGAGCATGGCTAAACGAGATGCCGCTCCGTCTACAGCAGAGCGCATCGCGTTTAATGGGCTCTGAAGGGGGAGACCAATCGACCATACGAGATGTTGGCATTTTCATTACATATGACGAGTATAACCCACTTATTTGCAACGACCGCAAACGGTTCAATGTAGCTTACCTGCTACATAGATTTCTAGACCACAGTAGCCAGGCGTTAGCCCGCGAGTCAAACAATATCGACAGCTACTTTTGTACCAAGAGCTGAGACATTTCTTGTGAAGTCAAATAATCGCTGAACTAAGTCTATCCATCCAAATATCATAAAATAAACCTGTTTAGATGCGCAACGCGTTATTGAGCGCAATCCCAATAAGCGAAACCAATTTCTTCTCTTCGTGCAAGTGCCTTGGAGGGTATCCTATACTTAATTAACGTATCTCGTCTGACCATTCGACTGTAAATGGTACGTAATAGATATATTCACTCTGGTGCCTAGCACCCTGAATAAATGTGGCAAAAAAATACTGTTAAGCGCGAATCTTGAGCCAATACGGTATAAGCTTTTTTGGCAAAGATATTTCATGAAGGCACGGCTTAGTAGTATCCTCGCTGATGATGCTGGTAATAGCAAGATAAGCCATTTGTCAAGACGGTTCACAAAGATTACAATGCGACGCGTCCTTCCAATGACAAGAATAAAACTCGTTCTTATGGACTGTCTACGCACCTTACACGAAAGAAAATGTGCCTTTAGCGTCCGCCATATCCAACACATAGAATGTAGATCCACCGGTCATGCGTCTTACGGACGGCTTATATATGATACACCATCATTCCCGCCCGTATCAGGCACTAATTATGATACCTTTTCACAGTACTTTGCCATAATAGTTCCATGGTGTGGCTGAACTTTGCTTGAACAGCAGTTTAACGTAGGCGCGCACCATAATAGATAAATTATTCGTTATATATCCATTACTGCCGGCAATGAATACTTTTTAAAGAGAATAGTCGAAGTGACTTACCAGATCCCAGCGTACCGGCTTCGCTCTCTACTCAGGCTACCCGGTCTTGCCGCTCTTTGCCGATCAAAACCTCCAGCATTAGACGCACACATCATTCCTGGTAGTTGCAAACATCGTACCCGCTCTCCTCGGCGGGAAGTGGTAGGACACCCCGCTTTAGGGTGACGACTGCGACAGTTTCACCCCTAACCTGGAGACTGCATGCATGGATTGATTGATTGTATTCAGTAGCACCTGACCATCACTATGTGGTTTATCTGCCTCTGGTATAGGCATGTCGTTTTGCGTAACGAGTCTCGGCAATTGTGCGCACCTGGCGCATGATTCTCAGATCCTCCAGTATCACAATTTTGAATTTGCTGAGTGGTGTAGCCGGTCTGATATCAAGTGAGACTATCAGTATCGATGTTCTATCCCATCAAGATCAGAACCGCTTTTTGAAGGCGTCTGATGGACGCAGAAACTGATCCAACCATTCTGAATATGGTGTTGTATTTGTAAAGGCAAACCTCAATGATAAAAGCATGTCGTTCCAGCGCGGCTCTCAGCACATACATTGCGCTCTGTCCGAAAATCGATCTATGGACGGTCAGTGGTAGACATTCTCAAACAGGGGTCCAGCAACTTAAACAAAGTACGTCAAAACATTGCTGTAAAGCGCGAGTCTAGATCTGAAACAATGACCTTCGGCTAGCCACAACGGCGACAAGTTTGTCTAAAATCAGCCTGGCTGTATCCTCACCGGTGACGATGTCACTGACAGAACTAAGAGATTGTTTGTGTTCAAACGGCCTACATAATTCTCAATCTTGGTATAACCGGACGCGTTTTGGGAGAACTTGGAGATAAATTTTGCTTATTGGCTGCCAGTTACCTTCCAAAACCTGCAGTATGATCAAAGGCATAGAAGTTTGCTGCGAAGGATTAACTTATCAATGTGTGAGAATATGGGTTCAAGGACTAAGTCAATTTTCCCGATTTTTATTGTCTGAGGGCGACATTCTGACTTATTCTCTATAAACACGATATAATTTATAGAGAATAAGTTGGGGTATATATATACACGATATAATTCACAAGCTGAAGAATTCGTTCGATTCTTGTGGATTGCTGGTCCACTTCTCGCATTCAGTGCCTTTTTATGTTCTTAGGGAGGGACTAATTCATGAGGTCAGCTCCTTCCCGGTACAGTCAGTTTAAATTTAATGATTCCACAGTCATAAGACTCCTTGCATACACCCCCTCGACATAGTTTCTTAAGCTCTAGAGCAGCTTTTACCTGGGGCTAGGATGAGCGACTCATATACCTTTCTACTAACTTAAGTACATAATTAACGATTGGTTGTTGCAGAAACGTGAAGCTTCGATTTAGTGTGCGGTATGCATTTCACCTTGTGATATGGACGAGTCAAGCTTCACAGCGTCAGTACCAGGCCTTACCAATCACGACTCAGTCATATGTGTCTAAAGGATTTCTCCCAAAGACTGCGGAATTAACTCACTTCGATCAACGCCAAAGGCAAAAATGCTGGATCTTGTGACGTTCAATCTCTAAAATCCGTTCCAAAAAAGCTGAACTTTGATCTTGAATTGCCTGTATTAGTCTCAATAGTGCATACTCCAGAAAACCAGGACAGAGGGTTGCATTCTTTTGTCTCAACAAATGCAAATTCTAAAGACCCTAACCAAAGCTGTATTTGCCGTCCCGACAAGGTGATCATTGAAGACCGTGGCTCACAGCTCCCGATATTTCCTCAAGCGCTTTAGCGATATCAGCACTAGCAAATACGGACAGCCCATACTTGCAGTAACGCTGTCGCACTTTTGCACCACGCCAAAAGCGCTTCTTTTTTCTGTGTGGGGCGGGTCATTGTCTACCAAAGATTTACCAAGAGAGAATCGCGTGGCATTTATCGTGTTCGGCTTCCGGTCGATCAGGATTTCCTAATGTATTAGCAGTAACATGCATGCGTATCTCGTATTCATGACCAATACTGATAAGTCTCACACTCTCAAAGTCTGCAAACGTTTTTGCTGGCTCAAAAGACACCCAAGCAGATGTCTTTGTCATCATTACCCTAGAATATTTACTGCTTCATTTTCCAGGCAATGCGTCATACATTGATATCAACAGTCAAAATACTAGCTATTGGCTCCACCTTTTCAAGAAAGAGTAATTCTGTTTGGGTGACGTTGATGCAGAGCTCTTTGAGGTTTGATACTCTTTTGATAGAAGTCTGTAAGATAGATCAACGTGAAGCCTGACCTTTGTATCCTTTGTCCGTTAGTGAAGGAAGCACGCTATTGCAAGTTAAGCAACTACGAACTCACAAAGCTGCTCAGTAGCCAAGAGATCGCTCTCTCAATCGTCAGGCTTGCTGATTCCATCACTAACAATATGAAGGTCTCACTGAGGCCTTTGCCCTTGCTCTATTGCAGACATTTTGCAAAATTGGACGCACAACGAGCATTAATTACTTATATCGTTTAACTTCAGTACATTCAGCTTGCAATATTAACTCTTACGAACCATCGCATCGAGATTTTTATCGTAATCATATATTTCTGCAACCGACAATATTAAGCCATTTTTGGTCGGAGATTGAACTGCTCTCATATGAGAGGGATTATTGTGACTCACTAGATCTCCGCTCGACACCTTCATCTTCATCGAGAAACATACGGTAGAACCGATTACCGAGAAGACGCGTTTCCTAAACTCGACTTGTTTCTTTACGACTTGTGCACACCATGATCGTTGTTCAAGGCTGAAAGTGTTACGACACTTCATAGTATAACTGAAGCGAACTCTGTCTCGTTACCAATGGCTGAGACCTGGATAAGAGAAGTCGTACTTGCCAGATTGCAATTGCGAAATTGTAACAACTCGCAGCCTCACTCACGTCGTGATGATGGTATTAATCTATGAGAAATTGCTCGACGCGGTTTCACTCCTACACCTCAATATATGCGGGTCTACTGCTCAAGCCAGGAGCGAAACGCGCACTTGAAAGCAGTTCCGCAAACACATTCTGACCACTCGACAGTACCGCATCGAGCAGCTGTGGTTACTTAAATCTCGTACCCTCCGTGGGGACCGAAACTAGGGTACAAAGGCTGCTTAAAACGCCGATGAGAATCACACTCACTTCGCGCATAGGTCGAAAAAGACTTGTCGCCTCACACGATCTTCATTAGATTTGAAAGAGGAGACTTCACAGTGATGTTCTCTCTTGCGAAGTACGATGCGCGCGTCATGGTACAATGTCATCACATCAAGCGTGGAGCCAAACCACGATCCCGCTCTTGCGAGATGACAACGACGCAACCTCTCAGTCATATCATGTAGTCAAGCCACCTTCTGCGCTAGGGCAGAGATACGTTCCTATCTAGCACATTCAGAGAGCATTTATGCCAGTTTTGGCCGGACGCCGTGACTTTCAGAAAAAGCCGTCGTGCCGCTATAAGTAAGAGAGCTCGCATGAGCCAGCCACAAGAAGTTTGCTTTTCGTCGGTAATGCTATATGCAAAGGCTGGTCCACGTCAAAGTGGGGCGACTAGCGAGGCGGCGGGTTTACCCTAAAATATAACTAGTATATGAAGACTAACCGAGCTACACTCACACCAAGACCTTATAGGAGCTCGAGGTCCCGATGTTATAAGATTACTTTTGTCTCTATTTTCTGGAGAATAGGCAGGGTAGCCAAGTGCACGCGCTTCCCACTAGCAGATAGGAACAGGCATTGATCATCGGTTGGGATTGGCTGGTTGCTGTTATAGCAGGCTCATGAAAATGCAATTTATTGTAGCAACACAAGCCTGCTTAGACCGCAGGATCTCTTTGTATGCTCCTCGGGGTATTGAGCGTGTAGCTCAATCCTTTTCTGGATAAGACAACAAGCGGTTAGATGTGGCTGTTTCGCAACTCACTGTTATAAAACGCAGGCGGAAATTGCATGTGCGCATTGCCTTGCGGTCGCATTAGGCAATGTATCTTCATCATATCAGTACAAATTTTAGGCGCTCAGTCTGCCTTTTACATTTGTATGTTGCTTTTCCACATCCGAGCTATTAGCCATAGTGTCAAAAACTCAGCATATAATGCTCAGCTCTATCAGAAATCGGTGCTTCTAATTATTTTTTGACGGGTAGCAAAGCTGGTCTCAGGCGAGTCGAAGACTCTGACAGCCTCTCCTTCACCAACATCGGAGCCAGTTGTCAATGGAGAAGAACACAGGGGTAAATTGAAATATTTACATCCAATGAGGTGACGTTCTAGAGACATATTTAGCGTTTTAAACACAGGATTAATGAATGAGGCATTGATTTCAGTACTGCGGATTTTAGTGTGCAGGTGCTTTAGAAATAATTTCCAGCACGCGATTGATGCGTTCCGCCAGACGATTTGTGCGTGAGAATCTGTTTTTCTCATGACTGATCCACAGATAACAACATCTTCACTCGTTTGTGCTTTCGTTGTCAATATATGTGGACATGACTGATGCATCCGGTTCCGATGCTTTTAGTCCATTCATTGCCGCTGTTAATTACTCATTCAGTGCTCAGAACTTTGAGCAACTTTCGCCAAAATTTCGCCGAAAATAGCGGGTCTTGATCTGCGATAGTGGCCACTGGCAAGCCATGTTGGCAAAATTATTTCTCGAGGAACACCTTGGATACATCCTAGCGGCGAGATGAGCCCTCTTGCTCGGGCGAAGCACAATACCGGAATGACTTAACGCATATGAGGGGGCTTCTCAACTAGAGTTCATACTGAGGCACCGTTATCCATGTGTCGGAACTGGCAGACCGGCTAAAGGATCGAAGCCTTCTCTTAAATATTCAGTCATAAATCCGTACCGCTCGCTGAGTTATATGTCTACTCTTCCTAGTTGGCCACTAAACAGAGCCGTTCAGTGTTGAGTACTTGATGTCCTCCGTATAAAATATCATCACGCAATGATTGCCGCCCAGACAACACTCACCCTTTAAATTCCGATAGCGATGCGAGCGTGTAAACGGACGCTTTGACCATGCGGCATCTCAGCTCAAAATCCCTTTGCTTTCAAAGGTTTCAGCAGCGTAGAATATATTGTATCTGACCTGTACACTGTACTTATCAACTCATCAATGCGCAAAGACACTCCAGTGACATGCAACAGCTCATAGCCTGATTGGTGCAAAAGTGCATCGACTACCACATAAATTCTCACATTCAAAATCAAAGGTATACTCCGAATAAAGGATAAGTATTCTGCCAATATATGCGAGAGATGTGGTGATTATGTCCTTGTGCGCAGTGACACATAGTCAGCTTCGATCAAATCTGGATTCCAGCCAAGCAGGTGTACCTTGTACTTAACTAGAGCATGCTTTCTTACAAGCAGCATCTTATCATGAACGAAGTTTGCTTTTCTGCCGCATTAAAAATTTATAATGAGGCGTTTATTGACAATTTCATCTCCTTTGAAAAATCACAGTCAATCGGAAAGGTCGATGTGTCTCATACAACTTGGAATCCCGATCCCAATTTGAGAGGGTCAATTCCAGGACACTTACAGCGCGTTCTTTGCTTTTCTCCACAGACAGAAATTTGCCTTTTCTGGTGCACTTTGACATTATTTTACAAAGCGATTAGAAAAGGATGTGCCGTGTCGGGAATAATATGCACTATCTTGTGATCCGACCACTTGTTTAGATTCCTCCAGGACAGAGACAGTGGCTACTGCAGGATGGCGCTGATGTTTGTGGAATCTGTTTGCAGGCCATGCTTCACAATGAAGCTTTCTAGATTTCGTCGGTGCCAACGATACACTGCTCGATACCTGCAAACAATCTGTTTACGCGTATACACTCATTGACTGCTCGTTAGTGCTTATGTGGTTATCTATATCCTACTTCTCGTTCTCTGCACGATCACGGGCTAATATATCGTCAAAATAGGTTTATTCACAGGTGCGATGTGGCCTGGGTGACTGCGTCATCCGATAACTAAGCGTTAATGACGCGTGAGAAAGTCCATGTCACATTCTTAGTCACTTCCAAAGCATCCCACTTAGATTACTCACCACAGTAACATGAGCAGTTAATACCAGGTTAAGAGCATTAATTGACCGGGGTATCTTGTCGCACTCCCCTTGAAGTGATTGTTTTAAGCTCCTTATAAGCATGCACGATGCTATAAACTGTATCCTATGTGAGAAGGGAGCGTGAGCTTTTCAACGTCTCGTCTCAGACAGATTGGAGACATTTACTAAGCTCGTGTCTATTGCTAATCCCCAATCATTAAAGCAATTGGCCATCTAAGGGCCGGAAGCGGTAGTCGCTTTCCTGGGGGGTTGCCAGCTATAATAAGAGCTGGTAAACAGCCAGGAGCACCCTAGATAGGCGTCTTTGAAAAAAATAATGTCAGCTTCAACTGTGAGGGCGCTGATGTTCAGCGTTAGGGGAAACTTGGCAAGACTTTCATCTGAGTGAGAAATTTTTAGATGGCCTTGCATTTGGCAATGTCTAAGATAGAGAAACAACGCAAATGTGTTCTCTTGCAGTAGTTTGGTTGGAAAAGCATTTGTGGCATGGAAAATGTGCTAATGCGACATATGTCGCGGGTATTTGCACTGCTATACCAGAATTTTCGTGTGCAAATTTTTAATTTCAGTCAGCTCGTCAAGAATGCAAAGTGAGCTCACTATATAACATAGGGGTACATACTGTACGATGG